CTGTGTTCGGAGGAGCTGAGAGCAGGAGACCTAGGTGTATCTTGCCCTTTGGGGAACTGGGGCAGGCCTGGGGCCCTCCCTGGCCTCAGTTTACCCATCTGCAGGATGGAGGTTGTATCATAGCATGCCCTCCCTGCTGCCCCCTCCTGGCCAGCCCAGCCCATGCGGGCTGCTGCTGCTGCTGCTGCTGCTGTAGGGAGCAAGGTCCGCACCTGGGCGGCTGGGCCCAGCACACCGGCCCCACCTGTTCCCACCCTTCCCCTACTTTCCAATGCACTCAGACCGGTGAAATCTGGACTAGGGAGGCACAGGGCGAGCCCCAGGTGAGAACAGGGCTTCCGTGTCAACAGAGCTGGTTTGAATCTGTTTCTCATGGACCCTTTATGTGAACGAGAACAGTCGCTTCCCCCGTGAGCTGTCAGAAGGCATCGTGCCTGTCTTGCTAGTGAGGAAACTGAGGCTCAGAGAGGCAGAAGATTTGCCCAAGATCACACCACCGGGACCCAGGATTCAAGCGCAGGCCTGCCCCGTGTTTCCCAGGCTCTCTGTGGCCTCCTGGCTGCGAGGAGGCAGCCAGGGACCAGGTGCCACCCTTCTGAGGTGAGGCAAGGAGTGCCCGTCCCTTGGGCACATCTAACTTGGTGAAGGTCCCGCGGGTGGGTTGTGGCATGATTCCAGCTTGCAGGGTCTGGTGTGGGCAGCAGCTCTCTGCCTTCCCCTCAGTTCCTGGTGGGCAGCCCCAGCAGAGCCCACCCCAGCTTCACTCCCCTACGTGCCGCCTGCCAGTTGGGGTCCGCTGCATCCTAGGTCCTGGGCAAGTCCCCTCCCCTCCTAAACCTTAGTTTCCTTGTCTGTGAAATGGGGACCTGGCGGCAGTGGCACCTCCTACACCTGCTGATTGCTAAGTGAAGTCCTGCGCGGGCAGTGCCCCCGCGAGGAGGACCCACCAGACCACACGGCTCAAGTGGCTCTGGATTTCCTCCCAGGTGCCTGAGATCCCAGGCCCGAGAGGATTAAGGCGGGATTACTGTCTGAATGCCGGAGGAATTAGGGCAGCTGGGAGATGAAGCTGTTAGGCCCGGCTGCATCCCATTTCCTGCCTCGTTTCAATTCAACGTTCCAACAGCGCTGCCTGGCTCGTCTTGCTCTCATCCAATGGACAAGCACGCAGGCTCAGAGAGGGGGCGTGACTTGCCCAAGGTCACTCAGCTTGGATGCTGTGGAACAGGGACATCCACTGTCCCAGTCTGTTTATGGGAAGCCACTCTGCAGCTGCCCTGACCCACCACGTGCCCCACTGCTGTTTCCTTGCCCTGACCCCTTGTTGCCTGGACCAGGGTGGCACAGCTCCAGGCTCTTGGGCCCCTCGCGGAGGACAGGAACCTGTGACTGTGTCCCCAAAGACCTGAGTGACTGAGGGGGCCCCACAGAGCTTGGGCTTCCTGGAGGACGAGGAGGGATCTGCCAGCCACCTGCACCACCCCGGCCCCAGGGCTCCCCTGGAGCTACCATGCCAGCCGGACTCAGGTGGGTCTAGGGGAGCACCGTGCCTCCAGTCAGACCTTGAGATGTGCCCCCTGCTCTCACCATGCCCTCCCCTGCCCAGGACTCTGGTTGTAAACCCTGACTAAGGGGATTTTATCTCTACCAGGGGGCCAGTAGGTGGGAAGTGGCTTAAATAATGCAGGTTTATAATCTCACAGTTCTAGAGGTCAGAGGAGTCTGAAATGGGCCTCACAGGGCTAAAATCAAGGTGTCTGCAGGGCCGTGTTCCTTCTGGAGGCTCCAGGGGAGGAAGGGGAGGATCCAGTCTGTGCCTTTCCAGCTTCTACAGGCTGCCTGCGTTCCTTGGCTCGTGGCCCCTTCCCCCACCTTCAAAACAGCAGCAGAGACCTGAGTCCTTCTCATGCCGTCTCTCTGTTCTCTCTCCTGCCTCCTCCTCCACACTGGAGGACCCTTCTGCTCACACTGGCCCCCCGGTGACCCAGGATAATCCATCTCCCTGTTTGAAGGTCGGCTGATTAGCAACCTTCATTTCATCTGCCTCCTTCATTCTCCCGGCCACGTAATGGGATTCACAGCTTCCAGGGATTAGGACACGGACATCGTGTGGCGGGGGCGTAATTCTGTCGACAACACCAAGAAACACTTGGATGTCAAGCATTCACCGAACACTGTTCAGGCTCCAGGTGCTGGGAGCAGCAGTGAACAAAGCCAACAGACACCTCCACCCTCAAGGAGATCACGTTCATGGGCGAGGGAACAGATGAAACCCGGCAATGAAAATAAGTAGTGTAATGACTTGAAAAGTGCAGGGGAGAAAGAGAAGACGGGTGGAGAGTGACACATGGGCCCTTCTCTATTTCTTTTTTTTTTTTTTTTTTTCCCACTCTTGTTTCCCAGGCTGGAGGGCAATGGTGCGATCTCGGCTCACTGCAACCTCCGTCTCCCGGCTTCAAGTGATTCTGCTGCCTCAGCCTCCCGAGTAGCTGGGATTATAGGTGTGCACCACCACACCCAGCTAATTTTTTTTTTTTTTTAAGTAGAGACAGGGTTTTTGCCATGTTGGCCATGCTCGTCTTGAACTCCTGACCTCAGGCGATCCACCCGCCTCGGCCTCGGAAAGTGTTGGGATTACAGGCATGAGCCACTGTGCCTGGCCTCGCCTCTCTATTTCTTTTTTTCTTTTTTTTTTTTTTTTTTGAGACGGAGTCTCACTCTGCCGCCCAGGCTGGAGTGCAGTGGCCAGATCTCAGCTCACTGCAAGCTCCGCTTCCCGGGTTCACGTCATTCTCCTGCCTCAGCCTCCCAAGTAGCTGGGACTACAGGCGTCCGCCACCGCGCCCGGCTAGTTTTTTGTATTTTTTTAGTAGAGACGGGGTTTCACTGTGTTAGCCAGGATGGTCTCGATCTCCTGACCTCGTGATCCGCCCGTCTCGGCCTCCCAAAGTGCTGGGATTACAGGCATGAGCCACCGTGCCTGGCCTCGCTTCTCTATTTCTAAGGTGACCCAAATTTCTTTACTGCTTTCTGGTAAACCCACCTCTGGCCAGGGGGTAGGCTGGTGATGCAGGGCTTGAAGGCCACATAGGGACTTTTGTCTTCTGGTGAGAAAGGAAATACTAGAGGGTTTTTGCTTCCCTTTTTAAAAAATTCAGGTATGGCCAGGCTGAATTCTCCAACATGATTGGCATTTTACCTTGTACTAGCAGAGTCTGAGGAGTGTGGCTGCTCCCAGAGTCTCATCAAACTACAGTGCTGACATCTTTAGTTCTAGTCCTTCTAGTGTGTACGCACTGGTATCTTATTAAATGCTTTTAACTGTTTTGGTAGAGATGGGGCCTTGCTGTATTGCATAGTCTGGTCTTGAACACCTGGCCTCAAGTGATCTCCAGCCTCACCCTCCTGAAGTGCTGGGATTACAGGTGTGAGCCACTGCTCTGGGCCTCATTCAATGTTTTGCTTGTCCCTGACAAGTAATGGAGTTAAGCTCTTTTTCATGTTTATTGGCCATTAAGTCATCTTGCTTTTGGAAATGCCAGTTGTTAACTGGCTTGTCCTCTTCTTTTTGCGTTAAGACACTTAATACATGCTGGATACAGATCCTCTGTTAGATTACATGTACTGCAAAGATTTTCTCCTACCCTGTGGCTTGTCTGTTGCATTTTTTTTTTTTTTTTGAGATGGAGTCTCGCTGTCACCCAGGTTCAGTGGCGTGATCTTGGCTCACTACAACCTCTGCCTCCCAGGTTCAAGCGATTCTCCTGCCTCAGACTCCCAAGTAGCTGGGATTACAGGCACATGCCACCACGCCTGGCTAATTTTTGTATTTTTAGTAGAGATAGGGTTTTGCTACGTTGGCCAGGCTGGTCTTGAACTCCCGACCTCAGGTGATGCGCCCACCTCGGTCTCCCAAAGTGCTGGGATTACAGGTGTGAACCACCGTGCCCGGCCAGCTTCTCTATTCATTGGAGGATTTGAGTGACATGAACAACTAAGGTTTTCTTTTTTTGAGACAGAGTCTTACTCTGTCACCCAGGCTAGAGTGCAGTGGCATGATCTCAGCTCACCACAACCTCTGCCTCCTAGGTTCAAGCCATTCTCCTGCCTCAGTCTCCGGAGTAGCTGGGATTATAGGCACCTGTCACCACGCCTGGCTATCCACTTAGGTTTTTGAAGGGCCCCTCGGGCTTGGGGTGGAGAGTGAAGGGAAGCAGGGGGAAGAAGTTTAGGTCTTGCAATCGTCCAGGTGAGACATGACATTGCCTGTGACTGGTGGCAGGGGTGGAGGTTGGGAGAAGTGGCCAGAGAGCAGATCTATTTTGTGGGTGAGGCTGACGGTATTTGCTGGACTGCCCTGGAACCAGAGGGAAGTACAGAGTCAGGCTGACTACAAGGTGTTTGGCTTAAGTTCATAGAAGAAAGGAGTTGCCATTTGCTGGCATGAGGAAAATGGAGAAGCAGATTTTGGGAGGAAAATGAAGGGTTTGGTTTCTGACTCGCTGAACTGGATGTGCTGTTTAAGTGGATGTGGATTTCACAGTTGTACTGATGAAGCTGGAATTGGTTCAAGTATAAAAGGAGGGTCATCTAAATATAGCTATTGAAGGTAATCCTCAGTGAGATGAAGCTACTGAGAGGGTGTGGGGAACCAGGAGCGGGGTGAAGCTGGGAGGGGCAGCTGGGGGGAGGGGAGAGAAGCCCAGCGATGTCCTTGGTGTCTCTGTGAAGACAGCACTTCTGGCAGAGGGACAGACACCCCCCCCCCCCCCCCGCCTGAGACAGGCTGAGGAACAACCCAACAGCAACTCAGGGCACTGGTAAGTTTGTCAGAGCACCCCAAATGGAACAAACACCCATTAAAGAGGGAGTGCCTCTAAGAAGCCGAAAGGGGGCGCCACCCAGGCTCCAGAGGGGAAACGTTTACGCTCATTTTCTAACATGTCAACAACCCCGGACCACGCAGGGTCCGGGGTGTCAGAAAAATACTGGCTCTGTGATCAGCTTTGAAACAACTTTATTAGAAGGCTGCTTTAAATGACAACTTCCAACTTCCATTTCTTTCTTAATTTGCTTTTTGACGATTCCAGTTATAACTATATATGTTCATATATAACAATAATTTTTGCATTGATCTTTGCATCCTATTGAGGATTGAAGATTTCCTCATCAGGTCATTCTGGTGGAATGGAAGTGCAACCGTGACGTCGCCAGTTGGCCAGCATTGTTGAGCAAGGGCAGCAGAAGGCTGGGAGGGAAGGAGCCAGCCCCCCACCCTCTCCTCCAGCCCCCGCCCACCACAGATTCACAGTGAGAGGCACCTCACTGCCTTGACATTCAGAAAGTGTGAAATAAAGAAACCCTCGCAGTGCAGGAAATAACTGGATTCCACCTTCAAGGTTATTGAGGTTCCTCCCTCTCTCTCCACGCCCCTAGTCAAACCCTGAAATCCTAAGACTTGGGGAAAGCCCTTCCCCAATCTGCCAAAGGAAAGGACCCAGGGCTGCTGCCTTCTGGCCGCTTTTCTGCCTTCAGTCCCATAAGGAATTTCTCTGGACAGATGTGATTGCGGCGGCCCAAGGTCCCCCTTCTTCTTCTCTTCCCACCCCACTGGGTGGGCTTGGAAAGGTACAATCAACCATGAACATAAATATGAATAAAAAATGAACTTGAAAATGACAAGCTATTAATTAAACAAATCTATAAAAATAGTTAGGACATAACTCTGTTCAAATAAATACAAAATAAATAGGTTCCAAGCAGTGACACGAGTGGAATGTGAGGCTGGTCCCGCTGCGCCCCCGCTGGGGTTAGACAGGAACCCCCAGGGCGTCAGAACAGACTCTGAGCAGTCAGCCAAGCTCCCTGCTCCCTCGTCTTCCTCTGGAAGCACAGAAGTCGCTCATTTGTCTGGCTTGTCTTTCTGGACAAAACCCTTTTCCCAACAATGCATAATTAAGGCCTCCAACACCTTTTCCTTCCCTTGCCAGAACACGCCAACGCTCTGCCCTTCGCCCTCAAACACGGCGCTCCACTGCCCTCATGCCACAGTGGGGACAGTGAGTTTGGTTCTGAGGTGGTGCCCATCCTGATGGGGTCTGGGCCGGCTCAGAGCACCATAAGCCCCAGCACTTGCCTTCTGTGCAGCCAGGCCAGGCAGCCCGAGCCCCATGCACTCCCACGCATGCCCAGGAGTCCCAGCCATCAGCAGGGCTCAGATGCCAGTGAGCACCAAGGCCAGACCCTTTCCTCTTCCTTGCACAGCCAAGTTGGCGTCGATGCTTTAGGTTGGGAAGTCAGGCCTGGGAGGCCACGTGACCTCACCTTTCACCATGGATTACGGGGTTGGACGAGGGGGTGGGATGTGGGCTGTAGCCCTCCTCCCACCTGATTACATCAGCAGAGAGGCAGGAAGCAGAGGGCACGGGGAGATGCACGGCAGGCCAGAGGGCAGGGGCCGTGGCCAGCAGCTGAAATGGAAGAACTAAGCCGGCCTCCAAGCTCGCTATTGGCAGGCACTGCAGAAAATGTCCTGTTCCTACACATGTGAGCCTGGAGCCTGCTGACCCTGGACCCTAAGGAATGCCTGTGGTCTTCCCTGGAACCAACAGGAGGGTCTGCTGGGGTCAGCAGGACAAGCCCTGGGCCTGCCAGCTCTCCCCACCCTCCCTGGGGTGCATCTAGGGTTTTCACAGCTTGGCTCGAGTCAGCTTAGTGTTGGCACATTCACAGAATGAGATGGCTGCATACCCCGGGCTGCGGCCCAGGATCAGCGAGTCCACGGCGGGGCGGCCCTCCCCCCGTCACCGTGACTGCACGCCCAGGGTGATCTTCAGGTTCTCGTAGACCACATAGCTGATGCTCACGGCTGGGATGACCTTCATGAAGTTGGGGGCCAGCCCCCTGTACAGCCCGAAGGCCCCCTCGGTCCGCAGGATCTGTTTGAAGAGGCTGCTCATGGTCACTTCCGGAGCGCCCTCAATGGAGGCTGCAGAAGGGAGGCCACCAGTCAGATGCTTCTCTCCGCACCCTCCGAACTCCCAGGGGACTGCCCAGGGCCAGCCTTACCTTGTGCCTGCATCCGGGTCCTAACTAGGGCCAGGGGGTAGCTGGCCAGCTGGCCACAGGTACTGGACATGGTGCCACAGGCCAGGAGCACAAACACACCGGGGTCCGCACTGTTCACTGCATAGCGCTGCAGCCAGGCATTCTTGAGCGTCTAGAAGGGGAAGGGAGCGTGGGATAAGCCCCAGGAAGGGCTAGCGAGGCAGCAAGAGACAGGGGGCTGTTACGGGGTCCTCAGGCCACTGGAACCCAACTGCCGGGCCCGGGGCCTGGCTGTCCTGTTTCTGCTGTCACTGGGAATTCAGGGACAAGGCAGAGGGAACACCGCCTACCCCACACAGAAGGGCTGACTTCTGGGGTCTGTCGAGTGTGCTGGGGCCTGCAAGCCCCTAGGGGCCACCCTGCTCTGGGGATCTGCCTGCTGAGCCCCTGGGGACGCAGAGCCTGGATGCAGGGCTCACAGGGGCTGCCAGAGGCAGGCAGGATGAAGGAAAGCTTGCAATAAACACAGGAGCCGGAAGGAGACGCAGTCTTTGATGCAGTTTCCTGCACTAGGCATGCGTCCGTCAAGGAAAGAGACAGCAGGCGGAGGTGTGCTGGGAGGGGGTTTCTAAACCTGTCCGGCTTGGGCCGGGGCCTGAGCCCTCTTGGGCCTCACCTCATAGACTGCGAGGTCGATGCCGGCATAGGGGATGATGCCCAGCATGTTGGGGACATAGCCTTTGTAGAAGGCGGCCACCCCCTCTCTGGCCAGGATCCTCCTGGCGCAGTCCAGCATTCCTGAGTACTGGCCTGTTTTCCGCAGTGCCATCCGGGTCTTCAGGACCTGCACAACAGGAGCGGCGGGAAGCGTGAGCACAGCCTGCACCTCTCCCCAGTCCCATGCCCACTGCCCGCCCCAGGACCCAGGTAGCCCCTCACCTCCATTGGGTAGATGCTGCTCTGGGCGATCGCCCCTGCCAAGGACCCTGCCACAAGCCTCTCGTGAATCCTCAGAGTCTCCTGGTCACTACCAACAAGGCGCTTGATCTAGAACCAGGAGCAAACAAACCACCCGATATACCCAGAGGTTGAGGCACCTGCTGCTGCCCCTCCCTTCCTCCTGGAGCCAGGCAGCATCAGCTGAGCCCTGGAGTCCCTGGCACATTTTATGCTGCCCAGAAATGTAAGGAACTGGTAGCGAGCCCGGGCCTCCCGCCTCGCCCTGCTGTCCCTGGGGTACCATGACTGGCTCCAAGTGTCAGGGAGCTCAGTCCAGGGAAAGCCAGCAAGTCCAGACAGTGAATAGCCACTGGCTGGTGACCCTCCCTGAGGAGCTGGGTCCTCACCTGCTCATAGGCCATGAATTTGATGGCTGATTCGGGGGCAATTTTGAGGACATTGATGCCATTGCCCCGCCAGAGTGACCTGGCCCCTCCTTCTCGAATCATCTGAGTGAAGCCGCCAACGATGCCCATGTTGTTGCTGCGGGAGGCATGGACCTGGGAGGGAGGACCAAGCAGTCAGACGGACCCGGGGGGGCCATAGGCTGCCTCACCCGGCCAAGAGCCTCTGCTGGCCAACTGGCTGCAGCCAAAGCGAAGGCTCTTTCTTCTGTGAGTTTTGAAGATGAGCTTGGAATCACGAGACCAAAGTAACCCAACACGGCTCAGTGAGGTTCAGCTCCATTGTACTGGCTATCTATTGGTTGCCAGCCTTGTCCTGAACATCTCCATAAAGATGACTTTAAAAAAAAATCAAGGTCGGGTGCGGTGGCTCATGCCTGTAATCCCAGCTCTTTGGGAGGCCGAAGCAGCTGGATCATTTGAGGTCAGGAGTTCAAGACCAGCCTGGCCAACATGGTGAAAGCCCGTCTCTACTAAAAATACAAAAGTTAGCCAGGCGTGGTGGCAGGCACCTGTAATCCCAGCTACTTGGGAGGCTAAGGCACGGAGAACTGCTTGAACCCAGGAGGTAGAGGTTGCAGTGAGCTGAGATCATGTCCCTGTACTCCAGCCTGGGTGACAGAGTGAGACTCTATCTTAGAGAAAAAAAAAGAAAAAAAAGGCTGGGCGTGGTGGCTTACACCTGTAATCCCAGAACTTTGAGAGGCTGAGGGGGGCGGATCACATGAGGTGAGGAGTTCCAGACCAGCCTGGCCAAAATGGAGAAACCTCATCTCTACTAAAAATACAAAAATTAGCCAGGGGTGGTAGCGTGTGGGTGTAATCCCAGATACTAGGGAGGCTGAGGTGGTAGAATTGCTTGAACCCAGTGGGGGAGGCTGCAGTGAGCCGAGATCACACCACTGCACTCAAGCCTGGGCAACAGAGCGAGACTGTCTCAAAAAAAAATAATAATAATAATTTTTAAAAATCGAATTTTTCATTATAAAAAAAACTTAAAACATATTTAAAACAATGATCAAACCACAGCCAACCTCTCTCCTGCTGCCCCACCCATGCTGGTTTAAAGGCACATCCCAGGCATCTGATTTCACCCAAGGCCTGCTTTCAATCTCTACAACGTTCCTGACAATTCTGCTAAAAAGACAAAAGGATGAGGCAGTTGTTCAAGCCCCTGTTTTCACAGAGGAGGGGAAGTCCTGGGAGGGAAAGGGGTTTGCTCAAGGCCACGAGAGGAAGGGAGGCCGCTATGGTGGTGCCCCGGGCAGAGTCCAAGCCCAAGGTGCTCTGCCCTGAACCACCTGCTTCCTTTGTCTCTGTGCGACACAGGGAGGCCCAGCAAGGCAGGCGGGGGAGGGAAAGGAGGCAGCTCGTCCAAGCTGGGCTCCTGGCACAAGAAGTACTAGGTACGAGCAAGGGGATAGGTGGTGGCCAGTCACCATTCAGACATCAAAGTCCACCAGTGTTGTCGTGTGGGTTTCACAATTCTGCCTTGACATCAGCCCAGCTTATCTCTGCTGTGTGGACATGGATTTGCGTACCTGGCCAAGGTAATGGTGTGGCTTCCCACTGGCATCTGGGTCAGGTGAGGCTCTGCTGACCCCACTGTGGGGTAATGTACACAAGACGTGCTTACAGAAATTGGTTCCTGCCTCACCCCAGTCTCGGTAGCTTCACCTGTCCACATTATGCCCCTGTAATGTGATGCCTCAGATAAAATTAGATCCGCTCTGCACAAAATGTCACCTAGAGTGACATTTTGGTACCCCCTGTCTGAGCAATAATTCCAGTCTAATTTATTGGGTTAGAAAAGTTTGGGCCCAAAGCAGGCACCAGCCAGAGAAAGGGAAAACTAGCCAAGCAGCATCCCCCAAGTGGAAACTGCCCCCTCTAGGGCTCTGGGGTCTTTTCCCTACATACCTGCATGAGCACCTTGAGCCTGTCCAGGGGGGCCGTGCAGGTTCTGGATACGGCCCCTGCCCCACCTCCTGCCACCAGGTGTCTCCACCACATCCCCGTCTGCCTCTCCTCCACTGTGAACTCATCGGGGACCGTCAGATTCTCACCCACATCAAAGATCTGTGAGGAAAGATGGCATAAGCCTGACTCAGGACCCTCGGGGCAAGACTGCTGGCACCTGTCGCCTTCTACCCTCCAGCATGGCTCCAGGCCAGGGACCACAGGACAGGAGAAGGCCAGCGATCCTGGGTGGGAAGTGGACTGGGGCCTTCCCCTTCACTCTGAAGGTAGCAGAGTTCTCACCCCAGCAGGGGGCCTGGAGAGAACCTCAGCTGAACACAGCCGGAAGGTGCCAGGTACAAAACCATTCACCCGCCCTTTGCAAAGCTTCCAGGGAGCTCCTTAAGAACAGCTCACAGGCCTGTGTGAGATCGCCAGGCTGGCTGCACTGAAGGGATCAAGCTGGGGTAAGAGCCGTCTGAAACCTCATGTGTAACCAGATCATGCTGGCAGAACATTATGCAAGGCCTCAGCAAACACGAGGGCTCGCTGCCTGCGTAACCTCTCTCCGGGTGGCATCCAGGCTGATTAGAGCCACCTCTGCTCTGATCCCAGGGCTAAAGGCCAGAGCTCTGGGCCAGCTGCTCCCACCCCTGGAGGTGTCCACTTCATTTCACCCAACAAGCCCTGGTCTGGCACTGTGAGAGGCAGGTGAGGAGCCCCTCTGGCCTCTCCTTCTGGAGGGGACTGTCCAGGGGGACAGGACTGCACACCAGGACTCAGAGAGGGACATGCCAAGCGTGAGGGGCTCAGGGCCAGAGACCAACACAGACTCACATTTCCGAACATGAAACCACAGTGGGCAGCGGTGAAAGGGCAGCAAGTGTGTGCCCGTGGGGACACCTCACAGCTCTGCCTAGGTGCTCTCTGTAGAGTAGCTTCTGCCTCGGCCCCCTCCCACCAGGGGGAAGGGTCATACCAGCTTTGGCAGAACAGGCAGCATCATGGGAAGGGTATCTGAAGTGGCCCATGAGCAGGGAGCATGTGGGGACGGAGGGTGTTCCTGGAAGAGGACCCCTGTGTGTGTGAACAATGGGGCTGTTCAGGTGGCCAGTGGCCAGAACAGGGGAACATGCGGACAGCTCTCCTCTCCCTCTCTGAGTCCTGGTGTGCAGTCCTGTCCCCCCGGACCATCCACTCCAGGAGGGGAGGCCAGAGGTGCTCCTCACCTGGCAGAAGAGGGGACAGTCTCCTGTGGAGGAGGCGGCGGCACTCTGGGATGGGGACAACTGGGTGACTCGGGGCCAGGCCCTGGGAGCAGGTGAGGGCCCCGGGTGTGTGGGGCTCACCGTGGAATGCTTCCAGTAGAGGATGATCTCGGGGATGTTTTCCACGGGGTGCAGGAGGTGGTAGTCTCTCCACTCGTTCCAGTCGATGGTCATCGTGCCGTTTTTATCCATGCTGCGAGACAGAGGCGAGGCTGCCCACCTGCCCAGCCACCAGCTGCGTCCCCCCACCTCCCAGTGAGCCGAGGGCAGGCACCTCGGATGCCCAGAAACCACACGAGGCGCCTCTGCCCCCAGGTGAAAGAGCAGGGGGTTGCACACCCTACTCAGCACAACAATGGCAATATAATGGCCCACAAGAACCCCGTTCTGATCAGGCATGGAAGTCAAGGGAGGCAGTCATGAGCGACACGGATACTTACTAGGTGACAGGGCCCCAGAAATGGCCCGTTCGTATTCTGACAGACAGACAAAGGATGCGGAGGAGAGAGGAGAAACAACACGCATAAGTGCTCGGAGCCATGTTAGTGAAGCAAGCGCACACCCAGAGATGTGGGCACAGCACGGCACGAGACGAGCCCCACAGCAGCTGAGCCCGGGGCTGCTGTCCCCGAGGACCAGCCAGCGTTCGTTCGGTCCACAGGGTTTTGGGAAGGTCCAGCTAGGACAGACGGCAACTCCCAGGGCTGTTCCGTGAGATTTCCTGGCAGCCACCCCTCACCAGGGAGCTATCTTGTGGGGCAGCGCCTCTGACTAAATTGTGAAGTGCAAGTTACTAGCATGGGGAAGAAATTCACCTGGGATCGAGGCTGCAGTGTGAGCCCCTGCCCTGCCCCCACCACACACAGGTGCTCTTTGCTGGCCTTTTACCCACTTGAACCACCCCCAAATTCGTTTTCCCTTCATGGGCCGCTGGCCGATGGGCAACATTCCAGGTGATCTGTGATTCTTCAAATGAAAGCTGGCCTGCAACGCTGGGGGAGGGGCTGGCCTCCCGCAGGGGTTACTTATTCATCCTTTCTTTTCTTTTTCTTTTTTTTGAGACAGAGTCTCGCTCAGTCACCCAGGCTGGAGTGCGGTGGCGCCATCTCGGCTCACTGCAAGCTCCGCCTCCCGGGTTCACGCCATTCTCCTGACTCAGCCTCCTGAGTAGCTGGAACTACAGGTGCCCGCCACCACGCCCTGCTAATTTTTTTGTATTTTTAGTAGAGACGGGGTTTCACCGTGTTAGCCAGGATGATCTCGATCTCCTGACCTCGTGATCTGCCCGCCTCGGCCTCCCAAAGTGCTGGGATTACAGGCGTGAGCCACCGTGCCCGGCCTACTTATTCATCCTTTCAAACCACGAGAAGGCCAAGTTCAGAAAAACAGGGTCAGCTTAGGGAATGGCATCGCAGGGTTAGTGTCAGAGCCTTCCTTTCATCACACTTAAACCAAACACAGAGGCTGGCTGAGCACTCACCTCTTGAGAATTTTTTCTGCCTGCTGTTCAGATATCTTGACTCCCAAGTCCCGCAGGGACTGCATGATCTCCTGTGCGTCGATGCGTCCTACAAGAAAAGAGGCCGTGAGCAGGAGCCAGGCGCACAGGGAGGCCCGAGGCTGGACCGGCTGCAGCTCTGAAGGCAACACTTACCATCATTCTTTTTGTCCAAACTCTTAAACACCAGCCTCAGTTTCTTCTCATGATCTTGGAGATAATGGACAAATTCTTCAAAGTCTAGCTGCCCATCAAGGTCCTTATCTCCAGCTTGTACAATTTTCTAGAAAAGAAAAGTAAGGTTTTGTCTTTTGGCTCCTGGACCAGCCTTTCCTTGTCCCTTGTGGGGCCCCGTCCCCAGGCAATGACTGCACTAATCCGTGAGCAGAGCTGGCCCCAAGGACCCAAGATGCTTCTGCTCCACTCCCAGAGCCACTATGGCAATTGACTCACATGCCAGAGCCACCACCTAGAGCCCCAAGTGCTGGCCAGAACCCAGGCAAGGGCCAATCTTGTCTCCCTCCCAAGCAGAGAGGAAACGAGCAGCCCAGGAAGAGCCCTCTGGACAGAGGCCAACAGGGACAGCTGGGCACTTTGTCAGTCTGAAGACCCGCGCGCCGCACAGCCAGGGTGAGCAGTGTGGCTCTGCTGCAGTGCCGTCCCTGGGTCCCTGGACCCAGGCTTCAACCACACATGCTCCCTGGTGAGACGTGGGGATGGCCATGGAGTTTTTTTCCGACAGGAATTCTGCAGCTCGCTGTTTCCCTCCTAAAACTGGCATTGGTCCAAGAATAATTTGGTGGGCAGGGTGAAAATCGGGGGCAGAGCCAGACTCTGCCACAGCACCCTAGGCCGGGGAAGTATAAGGAGCCAAGGGCATGTGTATGATGGTACTGCCAGTCCCTGCTCTCAGGGAAGCCAGGTGATAAAGCCGCCCTGGCTCTGTCAGTCACTGAAAAGCACTTTAGTGTCCCAAGAAGGCTTTGAGAGACTGTTCCTTGGCAATGAGGTTCCAAAAGTAATCCCCCCACCCCTACCTCCCAGGAGGTGGGCTTTGTTCAGCAGTTGTTAATGGTTGTGGATGCCCAGCAACTGGGACTGTGCCATGAGAGCGCACATTTCCCCAGCACCTAGCGCGGGCCACCGGGCGTGCTAAATGCTTTACTTTTAGCAACCCACTAACCCCTCGCAAACAGCTCTAGGAGGTAGGAAATGTTATTTCCCCCATTTTACAGAGAAGGAAACAGGAGTTCCGAGAGGCTAAACATTTACACGAGGCCAGACAGCTAGGGAAGTGGTGGGCGGGATGTAAGTCGGGCCGTGGTCCTCCCAAGCCGCCTCCCTGCAGATCCTGCCACCACCCTCAAGGCTAACCTGCAGAACATGGGGGATGAAAGTGAGTCACCCCAACTCAGCAACGCCCTGAATCCAGAACCCAAAACTGGAACCGAGACTCTCCCAAGGAAGATGGTACAGTCTTCCTGTGTCCCCCGGCTTCCTCACTGGGAGAAATCAACGGACAGCCAGCTGGAGTCTGGAACTGGATGGCCCACTGGCTAGCTCACATCCTCAGAGGATCACCACCGCACCTCTCTCTTAGACACATTACTGATGGTGCCTTGTGATTCCTCAGCTGCCAAGGGTGCCAGGGGCAGGGAGGCTTGAACAGATACCCCATGACAGATACCCCATGACCTGGGTGCTCAAAAGGCTAATGCGAGGGGTGTGGCTGGAATGTGGGACAGATGCTGGTACATATTTTATCTTCTATCTGAGGTTACATTTAACTTCCTGTGGACATCTGTGCTCTCAGCCAAGAGTGACATAAATCACCTATACAGTGACTGCTCCAGATCTCTAACAGGAATGGAAATAGAGTGGACAAGCCATTTAGGCAGCAGGCGAACATCAGGCACGGAGCCCTCTGGGACCCAGCCACCTGCACTGCTGCCAGGGTGAGCCACATGCCTCCCTGGGGTGGGTGCTGTCGCACAGACACCCAGAGCAGAGGGTGTGCTCACCGCAGCTGGCTTCAACGCATTCTCAAAGTGCTTGCTTCTGCCTCACGGGGCCTGAGTCTCCTTCTGTCTCCTTCCTTGGATCTGCAAATCCCCCTCGGTGCACAGTGGGCACTGGGGGTAGCAGGGAAACTGATTAACAGAGAAGCCGAGGAGGCAAGGGGCCTCCAGACTCTGCAGCTCGGCTTCCCCACCTTCAGGGCGGACACAGGCCCTGCTCCACAGAGATGTCTAAGGGTTGAGAAGGCGGGAGGCTCCCTCACCCCCACACCAGGGACGGGCAGCTCCCCCACCAGCACCCTCAACTCCTGGGCCTCCCTGCCTTTTCCTCCCTTGCACTATGGCCTGGCCCCCCAGATCCCTTTCTGGCTCTGTACTTCTCAGGAACACCCCCCTCATTCCAGCAAAAGGAATTTCCTTTCTGAAAGTCCATTTCTCACAACAGCCTTCGCTAGAATTCCAGCCTGCCTGGGAAGTCACGTGAAAACCAGTCACTACTGTGACGTACACGTGCCGGCCATAGCCACATGACAATGGGAAAAAACTCCTACATTTCAGACATTTTTTCCTCTCGGTGGGGGATGGTTCATGCATGCTCAGCCATTCACTCAACAGATACCACTTGAACGCGCCTCTCCCTTCCGCATGGTCACCCCGCAGACCTGCTTCCACTGGCGGTAGGTGGAGAACTCCTGGGAGGGGATGAAGACGCTGAGCTTGAAGATGGACTTCAGCTCGGCAGGGAGCCCCTTGGACTCGAAGTACTGGAACTCGGTCTGGGCCTCCCCGATGACCGGCACGTACAGGCACAGACAGAGCATGTTGGCAGCCTGCTGGGTGCTCCACTGCCCTCACCACTGGGAGCAAGTTCCCTAAATGCTGCCGGTCCCAGGGAAACTTGCATAAGACAAGCCCGGCCTCAGCTGTCATTGGCTGCTTAAGCCCTGCCCTTTTACTTAATTGAAAAAAAGAAAAAAACCCTCCCACGGCAAGTCCTGCCAACAACCAATGAACACAGAGCCCGGGGGAGAAGGTGGCATCGGGTTGCTCAAGTGAGAGGCACAAAGATGAGGGCTGACGTCACCGCTCCCTCCCTGCAGTTAACTCTTGGAGAAGAGGCCGGGTGGCGCGTTCTGCCTGCCTGGGTACCAGGTACAGAGCCCAAACGAACCTTCACCCTCTGGCTCTGGCTGCCAACCCCTCCAAATGAACAAACAGCCTATGGCCTGTCACACGTGTCACACAACACACGTGTCACACAACACAACAGTTTTCTCCTTTTAGTAAATCATTCCCAACTGAAAAATCAGTAGATGGAGACAGAGCTGATTGCCACAGAAAACGGGCCCAGTTCAGCTGTGAGGACGGGAGGCTGAGGGGTGGCTGAGAGCCAGGTGCCCAGTCACCCTGGAAAGTGGACCCCACCATGGGCCTGTGTGTCCCGCAGGGGAGCTGCCCTGGCCACACACGGCTCCAGGCACAGTTCTAGCTGGCTGCTGCTCCAGGGAACCTGCAGCCCTCCACAGCCCATATTGCATTGAAACCTCTTCCAGGCCATTCTGCAATGTGAGCACCAGCCTTCATCTAGGGGCCCCAGAGTGCCCAGGAGCTGACACGATGGGGTTGGGAAGAGGACACCATGCCGAAGGACCCCCCAGAAGCATCAATCTGGGGTCAGCGGAGGCCTCACACGAGATCCACAGTCTTCAATGCCCACGTCCACTCAGAACATGTAGGAGCCCAGTCTTAGTCACAGCCAGAACTTTGCTGTTCAACACAGAAGCTTTTTAAATGTAAAGTCATAGCCAGGCGTGGTGGCGCACACCTGTAATCCCAGCTACTGGGGAGGCTGAGGCACGAGAATTGCCTGAACCCAGGAGGCAGAGGTTGCACTGCGCCAGGATTGTGCCACTGCACTCCAGCCTGGGCGACAGAGTGAAACTGTGTCTCAAACAAAAAAGTAAATTCATTACAATGAAATGAAATTACAAACTCAGTTCCCCAGGATAGCCACACGTGGTCACTGGGCATTTCTGCCACCGCGGGAACGTCACTGGGCAACACAGCTCGAGAACAACCCTTTCGGCGCAGGATGATTCTCCGCAGGCCGGCCTGAATTCTCCACTCATTCCTTCCCCCCAGATTCGTGCTGCGGAGGAAGAGACCACGTCACCAAGATGAGAACAGGCTCAGTCTCACCCTTGTTCCTTCTACACCGCGCCACTTCCTAATATAGACTACATCTTCCCACTACCGGGATGGATAAAAATGGATAGTTATTACTTGGGGATCACAGAAGTAAAAGGACTTCTTAATGCACTAAAAAGCTTGTTGTTAACTTGTAAAGAGGGTATTACAAGATGTTGATACTAACACACAACATTATGAAGCAGAGATCATGACAAGTGATATGACATTTGGGCCCTTCTAATGGAGATCTGATAACGAGTCTGTGAGAACAGGTCTTGGGCTACCCTAGCGACGGATCCTATGAGGTCACACTGGATTATCCAGGCAGATTCCTGCTAGCTGCCACTAAATCCATGACACTCAGCTGTCTCTTAAGCTGCCCAATCCAGAATGTTCTGCCTTGGGCTATTTTAACAGCATCTTATCTCTACCACCAGGGTCCTTGAAGGTAGAAGGCTCTTGCTTCAAACCCTTGAACCTCCTTGTCTGGAACTAACCTTTTGCCTTGATCAAATAAGGTGCTTCATGAACAGCTTCTAATGAGTGAATTAGCTCAGGGGGCCTCTAAGACCCTAATAAACAAACTCATAATCATACTTGATGAAGGTCTATTTTTCTGAGCATCTGCAAATAGAGTTGTCAGGGCATTATACTCAAATGAACAAGATAATGTATCATTATTATTATTACTATTTTTGAGACAGACTCTCACTCTGTCACCCAGGCTGGAGTGTGGTGACATGATCTTGGCTTACTGCAACCTCTGCCTCCCAGGTTCAAGCGATTCTTGTGCCTCAGCCTCCCAAGTAGTTGGGATTACAGGCACTCACCGCCACACCTGGCTAATTTTTGTATTTTTAGTAGAGACTGAGTTTTACCATGTTGGACAGGCTGGTCTCCAACTCCTGCCCTCAAGTGATCTGCCTGCCTCGGCCTCCCAAAGTGCTAGGATTACAGGTATGAGCCACTGCGCCTAGCCTCTATTATTTTATTTTAAAGGAGGTTCATATTTATAAACAAAAGAGCTAAACCTTAAAATGCTGGTTTTTAGGAATGCTCATTCTATTTTAAGATGTTGCCCTATTACAAAAAAATGCCGGTTTTCCTTTGTTAAATTATTGTTTGCTTCTGAAACTAAATTACACAGATCTGCTGAGTATCTCATTTTAGTGATGACTGCAGTCATTCTAATATAAAAAAGCAAATATTTTGACGAATAAATTCAATTAAAGATTTCATTTTCTAATAAAGCATATTTTAAAAATAACCATTGAGTTTTATAATGTATCTAACAAAAGAAATCTGAGAAGAGATATGAAAATGATACTAAATAAAAGTGAAACCTGTGTTCTTCTTTTTTTTTTTTTTTCTCTTTCCTAAGATGGAGTCTTGCTCTGTCACCCAGGCTGGAATGCAGTGGCGTGATCGTGGCTCACTACAACCTCCACCTCCTGGGTTCAAGCGATTCTCCTGCCTCAGCCTCCCGAGTAGCTGGGACTACAAGTGCCCACCAGCATACCCGGCTAATTTTTAAAAGGGTTCTAACTTATTTGCTGCTGTGACTGAGTCCCATGGAATGTCTTCATTGGATAAACTTCAATTGGCGTTTGCTTATTTAAATCATCCATCTTACTGAGTTTCACAGGTAACTCAGGACTCCATTTGCATATAAAAATGGAGAATTCTACCCAAATAAGCCAATCTCTAGGTGCTAGTGCCCAGGACAACTGCTCTATTCCTGGAATTGCACACTGTGGGGGCCTAGAGGGGCTCTGGGATCATCCCTTAATCTCCGAGTTAAGCAAACAGGCCTGGGAGAGGTAACCTGATTTGCCCAATTCCCAAAGCCTGTCAATGGCAGGGCAGGGCCTCACACCCAGGGTTCTTGTTACAATATCCACTTCAAACAGCACCCAAAACAGATTTTAGTATTCAGTTCCCAAAGGATGCCGGTAAGCCGGACACTGGGAATGACAGTGGGTGATACCTCATACTGGAAGGCGGCAGGTGTGTGGGAAAGGTGTAACTTGAGCAAGTTGAGCCCTAGTTAAATACAACCAAAAATGGTGTTTGTGTCACAGCTTCCGAACGCCTCTATGAGAACTAGATTATGGAGGAACTAAAGCAGGCCTCGGGTTTTAGCCCTCATGCTTCACACCGGCCTGCTTGGCACTCTAAGATCTGGGCACAACGTGCATTGTGTGCGATGCCTCTCTGCTCTTTATTATTCTGACTGTGTGGCACAGACCCTCATTGGTTTCAGCTCCTCCGACGTCCATTCCTATGACTAGTATTCGGAAACAGTGACAGCAACACTAGGACCCTTAGGATTCAGATTGCAATTAATCTACAAAGTAGCAGTTCCTCTCCTGAGCATCTTCTCACAGCAAATCTGCCAATGCCACCAAAAGTTTTCCTTGTTCTACCACTATGTTACATGCCGGAAGAAAGGAGGTGCTTCAGGTAAGGGCCGGAATACCATGAATAAGAACAGGGCAGGTACAGTGCCTTTGGGAGTGTAGCATTAGGTCAGAAAGTTCCTCTCCCTCCTCTGCAATGACTCAGACTTAGCCAGAAATATTAACATGTGAGGGAGCTTTGCCAGCATCCAGCCGCTCAAGCCCCACCCACCCTTAAGGCTCTCAAACCTCATTGGCGGCTGTGGCCACAGTGTCATTTGATGATCAGGTTGCCATGACAGCCTAGTGTAGCCAGTTTCCAATGAAACCTGCCTACACTTGGCAGTTACACACACAATGAGCAAAATTCTCTGTGCTTCCGAGAAGACAGCCCCTCAGGATTTGAAAGCTTGCATGCCGCTGAGGGCACCTCCCACTCCAGAGTAATGGCTTTCTTCTCCAACTGAAGATTAACTGTAAGACAAAGATAAAGGGAAAAACTGGAACAGTTCCTAGAATAAAAGCTTGCAGGAACCTGACTCACTAGCAGACATATTTAAACAGGGGAAGTGAGAGCAAAACAAAGTAGTGCTTCTGGGATGCTGAGAAGCCCAAGAATCCAGGTGAACTTTTCTTTTTCTTGAAACAGAATCTCGCTCTGTTACCCAGGCTGGAGTGCAGTGGTGCAATCTTGGCTCACTGCAACCTCCGCCTCCTGGATTCAAGTGATTCTCCTGTCTCAGCCTCCCGAGTAGCTAGGACTACAGGCACCCGCCACCACGCCCAGCTAATTTTTGTATTTTGAGTAGAGACAGGGTTTCACTGTCTCGAGGCTGGTTTCGAACTCCTGACCTTGTGATCCGTCCACCTTGGACTCCCAAAATGTTGGGATTACAGGCATGAGCCACTGCGCCTGGCCTAAAGTGAACTTTTCAAAAACGTTTCCAAAACATTCTGGGGGTCCTTTTTGTGATTTGGTGAGGCCAGCCCCAATTAGCCAGTGATCACAAACCCCAAACACCTTCAGAGCACTGCTCTGGAAAAGGATGCGGGCTGCATCCATGCTCCTGTTGCTCCAGTTCTTGATCTATCTGCTTTGAGAGTCTATCCTTTCCAGATGTGCTTTCTCTCTGGCTTCAAACCCAACCAGCTGCTCCATATCCCACTTGGGGCTCCCCCCATTTGCAGCCAGCTGAACTGTCTCTCCGTGGGGATCAGCCAGTAAAAGGTGTGGGTCTCTTGATTCTGCAGGCCAGGAACTAAGCTGCTCAGAACAGACAGTCCTACCCTGAGGCAGCCCCTGGGGGGAGAGCTGGCAAGGGGGTATTGTATGATGCTGAAAAATAGAGCAGCTAATTACTAAAGACAAAAATAGGTGATTTTAAAAGGCAGCCAGCCATTCGAGGTAGTAATAAGGCAAGCAGGTCTACAGATAAAAGTTCCTCACAAAGCTAGTGCCACAGCCATTCCAATCTTGCCTAAAACAATCAAAAGGTAAAAAGTGACACCCTGTCTTTGCATATTAAGCACGCACATCGCAGGCATAACAGACTCTGAGAGACCCGCTGCTTTGCTCAGAAGGAACCCATCAAAGACTAAGACTTCTCCCCAGTGCCCACATGGACTGCAAGTGTTATTACATCAAAAGTCTCTAGTAGCAAAGGCAAAATGAACTTTTATTTCTTAAATGCAGCAATTCAACTTAACATTTCTGTGGTATCTACAATGTGCCAAACAGGGCAGAATCTCCTTTTCTTCTCTGATTTTTATCCTGAGTAAAAAGATTCAAAATAACCAAAGCTCAGGAGGTGAACAAGGTCACTCCTTAGGCAGGGAGGAGAAATCTGAGCCAAATGGCGAGTTCCTTTCTAATACTGAGCACTCCATTAGTCTCGTTAAAAACTGCTTTCCTAAGGAGACAACCAGGCAGCACAGGACAAGGATTTGGGGGTGAAATCTCAGCTCCACCTCTCTTTAGTTGTTTAACCCTGGGCAAATAATGTAACCGTTCTGCCCCTCAGTTTCCTCATCTACGAAATGGGGATACTACCACTTACCTTGGCTCTTGTGAGGATGGTAACTCAGGCTCTGGGCTCAGGAGGGATGAAAGACCCCAGAGTTGGCAGACCTGCAGCGGCCGCAGTCATTTCCAGAGGGGCACCAGCCTCTGCGCCTCATGACTCCAGCCTCTCCTCGGACCCAGTCTCACGCCTTCACTCTTCCTCCCAGACCCAAAGGAGAGATGGGTCGGACCCAGGCAAGGGGACTGTGACCTTCAGGATGCCAAGACCACCCCCACAGCTCCAAGCAACTGGGTTCCAAGGTCGAGGCGCACTCTCGCCCCTTTAGCTTCGCCCTTCCTGAGCTGTTCAGATAAGCTAAGGCACACTTTCACAGTCTTCCCCTCACTTTCAAATGGCCTTCTTCAGCCAAACTAACAAATCCTAAGGCAAATCTATCGCTACCTTCCTTCCCTCAACAGCCACACTGGGGTGATTGCAGTGGGTGATGCAGCTTTCACAGGGGCCACAGAAAGATTTTAGATTGAATTTGTGGGCTTCCTCATTGCCTACCACTTCTCCCTGAACCCCAAACTAACGTTATGAGTTCTCCCTTCCTCCCCACACTCGTTTTTTTCCCCAGGAAAATGATCCCAGACCAGGCCCTAAACTAGGAGGTCCTCTTGAGGCCAACATTACCTTAGGAAACTGCTCTGCAGGTCCAACCACCAGCAAAATGGTGGGTCTCTTTTCCGTGGCCTCAGCCCTTCCGTCCTGTTTCCCCAAAAAGCTTGCCATCTGGTCTGTCCGGGCAGGGGCTGGGGTGCCTCTGACTTCATGATCGTCCCCCTCTCTGGAGCCTTGGCACCCAGCCCTGGGGAAAAAGCTAGCTAGCAAATGCCACAGCATCTGCAACATCACAGTCTCCTCCAAACGCCTCCGATGGTGACTGTTCACTTTTGAGGGATGTGACCACAATACCAAGGCTCTCTGGCTACACAGCTGCTGGGAAGACTGGCCTGGGAGTTCTCAGGCTGGAAGCTCTGCATGCAGGGGCGGTTTCCTGCTTTTTCAAATGTGCTAGCACTGCTGTCGTGCCCGGCCTGAGAAGTAGCTCACTGTAAGGGAGCCTTGCCGGGCTGCCGGCAATAAGGAGAAAGCAGCTGGAGCTTCTTCAGTAAAAACTCACTTCTGCAGGTGATGGTGAGCAAACGTTTGGCTTTTTTAAAAAACAACAACAAAAAAAAGGAAAACGCGACAGCCAAGCAGACCACTCCCAGAGGCAGCAAGCAACTTCGAGCTCCCAGTTATTCAGCTGTCCTCGCTCATCACCCAAGCCGAGGACCCGAGCATCCAGTCTGCATTCTCACTGCAGCAGAGCCCAGCCAATCACCTCTGCCGACACTACCAAGTTCATTATCCCCACCAGCACCAGCCCTCCAATCACAGGCAGCTGATTGCCTGCATGAAGCCCGGCAATTCTGCAGGGAGGCGCAGACTCAAGCTCCAGATGAGGCTCAGCTTACAGAATCCACTCTGAGCTGGCTCCTTAGCAAAAGTAACTCCCTGTCCTCCACCGGGGTTGCTTCCAGAAGGCATTCGCCATCAAGTGCAACACCATCAACAGTCCTTGGCAGCACGTCCTAAGAGTATTCTAGAAACATTTTTCCTTGTTTCAAGATCCAGTTTTCTCCAACAGAGCCCACGCCATATCACAGCAGCTACTTCTGCTGCGTCTACCTCCAGAAGATGAGCTGCCTCGGGGCAGGGACCAAGTCATAGATCTTTCTGCCCCTAGGACTAGACACAGATTAAGTCTGTAGACTGAACTGTGTAAAAGGCCATAAATAAAAAAGAATTAATCTTTGGTCATTTGTTTCTTAGTTTACTAACAGATAAAGGCACTGGCTACTGTCATCCCTCACTGCGGTGACCCTCTCATAGTGTTCACAACCTTTACTGGTTGGTTGATTGAGACGAAGTCTTGCTCTGTCATCCAGGCTGGAGTACAGTGGGTGGCTCTTGGCTCAACGCAACCTCCACCTCCCAGGTTCAAGCAAATTCTCCTGCTTCAGTCTCCCGAGTAGCTGGGATTACAGGCGCCCGCCACCGTGCCTGCCTAATGTTTGTATTTTTAGTAGAGACAGGGTTTCACCGTGTTGGCCAGGTTGGTCTCAAACTCCTGACCTCAAGTGATCCACCCACCTTCGCCTCCCAAAGTGCTGGGATTACAGGCGTGAGCCACCATGCATGGCCCCACAACCATTATTTTAAAAATATAAACACAAAGCTGGATGTGGTGGCTCACAGTTATAATCCCAACACTTTGAGAGGCCAAGGCAGGCAGATCATCTGAGGTCAGGAGTTCAAGACCAGCCTGGCCAACATGGTGAAACCCCGTCTCTACTAAAAATAGAAAAATTAGCTGGGCATGGTAGCAGGCCCCTGTAATCCCAGCTACTTGGGAGGCTGAGGCAGGAGAATCACTTGAACCCAGGAGGCGGAGGTTGTAGTGAGCCAAGATCGCACCATTGCATTCCAGCCTGGGCAACAAGAGTGAAATTCCATTTTTTAAAAAAAAAAAAACACACACACACAAAATCAACTTGTTAAAAGACAAAGTATAGAAGAAAGGGGATTGTGTGCTGCCATTTATTCCTAGCTTGTATTTGTGAAGACGGCCTCTGGAAAGACAATCAAATTGAAGAGAGGGTGTGCAGCAGGGAGGGCATTTGGGGCTTTGAGAGAAGAAAGGCAGATGAGAGACGTGTTTTCACCACCCTCTTAAATCTTGTGAAACTGAACCATAAGCATGTATGACCCAGACATACACACATACACACGTAAATAAAACAATTATTGAAAAAGAAGGCCGAGCGCAGTGTCTCACACCTATAATCCCAGTACTTTGGGAGATGGAGGTGGGCCGGCTGCCTGAGCCCAGGAGTCTGAAACCAGCCTCTACAAAAAGTAAAAAAAATCAGCCAGGCACTGTGGTGCATGCTGTAGTCCCAGCTACTCAGGAGGCTGAGAGGTGGGAGGATCACTTGAGCATGGGTGGTCGAGGCTGCAGTGAGCCATCACTGTGCCACTGCAGTCCAGCCTGGGTGACAGAGTGAGACCCTGTCTCAAAAAAAAAAAAAAAAAAAAAAAAGACGACATGGAGAGAAAGCAAGATGGTTGAGATGGGGTCCTAAGGCTTGTTCTGAAAGCTGAAGGAGACTGTATCTGTTGCCCTCTCACTAGATAAACAGAACTTGTCCAGAAACAGTTTTGCATGTTGATTAAATGTATAGTCTCTGGAGCCAGACTCCAAATTCCAATCCTGGCCATCACTTATTAGCTATGTAATCTTGGCTAAGTTACTTCAGCTCTCTGTGCTTCACTATCCTTATGTGCAAAACGGGGTTAGTACTTCATAGAATGGATTAAAGACTAAATTAGAGAATATATAAAGCTCTTAGGACAGTACATGGAGCTATTAGCTATTTTATTATTATTATTATCTACAAAATGATTGTGAGTCATCTAACTAGGTCATTTTAATACTAAAGAAGAGCCAGTCCACAGCCAAAAACCCTAAGGAAATAAAAATCCTTTGGCCAGGAGTGGTTGTTCACGTCTGTAATCCCAGCATTTTTCAGAGGCCGAGGTGGGTCTTTTGAGCCCAAAGTTTGAGACCAGCATAGCCAACACAATGTGACTCTGTCTCTACAAAAAAATCAAAAATTAGCCGGGCATGGTAGTGCGTACCTGTAGTCCCAGCTATGCGGGAGGCTGAGGTGGAAGAATCACCCGAGCCTGGGAAGTGGAGGCTGCAGCCTGGGTGACAGAGTGAGACCCTGTCTCAAAAATAAATCAGTCAATCCTTTAATGAATGTGAACCCTGTTTTTAGGCACAGAAAGTCTGGCCAGATGGAAGAGATAGTGATGTTTTAGCCTCCCATCTACAGACATAAGAGAAATCCCTTATTTAGATTACTGTTTTTAGTTTAATGCACTTCCTCCTACCACAGAACTGAGTTATGAGTTCAAGGGCTTCCAGTCAAAATGGGACCAAGTCACCTTCCTGCCTATAACTACAAGTGCAGACAAAACATAGAAACCAATCTTTCCCAGGCATTGGACAACAGGCTAAGGACACCGATTCCTGAGAAATGTATACAAATGAAGCCAGGAGCGCCTCCCATTGCCCCAGCTTCCTGCCTGGAGCTTCCAGTCTAGGTGCAGAGCAGAGAAGCCAGGTGGAACCCAGCAGCCTCCTGATGTTCAAGAGATGGGGCTGGGAGGCTGGGGAGGCCAGGCCAGGGCAGCTGGAGTGTGCGAGACAGAGCACTGGAGAGGAGGGAGCTGCACAGAGGGTGAACTCCCCCAAGGGTCCCCAGGGAGTCACAGCGCATGGGTGGGAGGAACCTACCTGAGCATGGAAAAGAACCATCCCAAAGGATCACAGGGCTGGGAATAGTCCCGTTCCCGTCAGCCAGAGTGGAAAACCTCAGAATACAGGGAGGTTCAGAAAGAGCGCTCAGAGGATTTTGCCTCTACAATGAGGCAAAGCCAGCCCTCGGCTAAATGCTGTCCTTGTTCCGCCCAACAAAGGAAGCCCTGCAAGGGTCAAACTACTCCAAGATAAAGCTCAAGAATATTCACAGGAATACACTAATAACCAGCACCCAAGAGGGTGAACTCCAGTAAAAAAATGAATAGGAACTACAAAGAAGCAGGAAAAGACCCATAATGAGGAAAGAAATCAGTAGAGACTGAGCAGGATAGACTTAGGACACAGGGACATTCAAAATGATCATAATTGTACTTCCTATGCACAAGAAAGTAAAGGAAAGATCAAGTATGTCACGTAGAGACTCCGCAGATTAAAAAGCCCCACCTCAAACTACAATGTCTCAGATGAAAAATGATTTTAACAGATCAGACACTGCAGAAGAAAAGATTAATAAACTTGAAGACACAGCAATAGAAACTTCCTAAAATAAAACACAGAGGAAACAAAACAGAGCATTGGTGAGCGGTGGGATGACCCAAACAGGTTAACACCCATAGCTGGAGTCCATGAAGGAGGGGGCTGAAAAAATAATTTAAAGAAATAATGGCCAAATTTTTCGCCAAATTTATTGAAAGCTACAGATCTACATATCTAAGGCGCTCAACAAACCCTTAGCACAAGAAACATCAAAAAAACTAACTCTGACACATCACAACTAAATTTCGGAACACCAGTGATAAAGACGAAATCTTAAAAGCAGACAGAGAAAACAAGACCCATTACGTACAGATAAGAATGACTGGGTTCTGGCCGGGCGCGGTGGCTCAAGCCTGTAATCCCAGCACTTTGGGAGGCCGAGACAGGCGGATCACGAGGTCAGAAGACCATCCTGGCTGACACGGTGAAACCTCGTCTCTGCTAAAAAAATACAAAAACCTAGCTGGGCGAGGTGGCGGGTGCCTGTAGTCCCAGCTACTCAGGAGGCTGAGGCACGAGAATGGTGTAAACCCGGGAGGCGGAGCTTGCAGTGAGCTGAGATCTGGCCACTGCACTCCAGCCTGGGTGACAGAGCGAGACTCCGTCTCCAAAAAAAAAAAAAAAAAGAATGGGTTCCAGCCAGGCGCGGTGGCTCATGCCTATAATCCCAGCACTTTGGGAAGTTGAGGCGGGCGGATCAAGAGGTCAGGAGATCGAGACCATCCTGGCCAACATGGTGAAACCCTGTCTCTACTAAAAATACAAAAACTAGCTGGGTGTGGTGGCTCATGCCTGTAGTTCCAGCTACTCAGGAGGCTGAGGCAGGCGAATCACTTGAACCTGGGAGGTGGAGGTTGCAGTGAGCTGAGATCACACCACTGCCCTGCACTCCAGACGGCGACAGAGCGAGACTCCATCTCAAAAAAATAAAAAGATAAATAAAAATAAAATAAAAGAATGAAAATAAAAGAATGACCAGGTGCAGTGGCTCACTCCTGTAATCCCAGAACTTTGGGAGGCCTAGGTGGGTGGATCACAAGGTCAGGAGATTGAGACTATCCTGGCTAACATGGTGAAACCACGTCTCTACTAAAAAAAAAAAAAAAAAAAATTAGCCAGGCATGGTGGCGGGCACCTGTAGTCCCAGTTACTTGGGAGGCTGAGGCAGGAGAATGGCGTGAACCCGGGAGGTGGAGCCTGCAGCGAGCCGAAATTGAGCCACTGCACTCCAGCCTGGGCAACAGAGCGAGACTCCGCCTTGGGAGAAAAAAAAAAAAAAAAAAAATGACTGGGTTCCTGAGTGAAACACAGGTGATTTTTTTGTTTTATTTTGTTTTTTTTGAGACTGTGTTTTGTTCTGTCGTCCTAGGTGGAGTGCAATGGCATGATCTCGGCTCACTGTAATCTCTGTCTCTCAGGTTCAAGCGACTCTTCTGCCTCAGCCTTCTGAGGATCTGGGATTACAGGTGTAAGCCACCATACCTGGCTAATTTTTGTATTTTTAGTAGAGATGGAGTTTCACCAGGTTGGCCAGGCTGGTCTCGAACTCCTGACCTCAGGTGATCCACCCACCTCAGCTTCCCAAAGTGCTGGGATTACAGGCGTGAGCCACCACGCCCGGCCCAAAATATAGGTGATGAATAAAAAAAAAGAAAATAGGCTGGGTGCAGTGGCTCATGCCTGTAATCCTAGCACTTTTGGCAGCCGAGGCAGGTGAATCACAAAGTCAGGAGTTCAAGACCAGCCTGGCCAACATAGTGAAACCCCGTCTCTACTAAAAACACAAAAATTAGCCGGGTGCAATGGCAGGCACCTGTAATCCCAGCTACACGGGAGGCTGAGGCAGGAGAATCGCTTGAACTCGGGCAGCAGGGGTTGCAGTGAGCCGAGATCGCCCCACTGCACCTCCAGCCTGGGCTATAGAGTGAGACTCCGTCTCAAAAAAAACAATTAAGAATGACTGGGGATGTCCCATCAGAAATTGTCAATCCAGAATTCTATTCCCAGAAAAATATCTTCTAAAAGAAAAGCAA